CAGATACAGATACAGATACAGATACAGATACAGATACAGATACAGATACAGAGATTCAGATACAGAGATACAGATACACAGATACAGATACAGATACACATACAGATACAAAGATACGGCTGGAGATAGCTACAGATATGAATAGAGAAAAAAAGGTTTGGCTCGAAGTTCCAGAGACACACATATTCATATAGCAGTCACAAATTCATATGTACACGCACACACACACTCGCACACACGCACACATATGGAACCACTCAGGGGCGGCCAAATCTATTTTTAGCACATTAGATGATAAGATTGTCGAGCCAAACGCGCAGAACTTTGCGGTTTCGGAGCGCAAAAAAAAAATATATATACAAAAAACACACGCTAAAATTTGTATACACACACATGTGCATGCATATTTATTTATTTTTGTATCGGTGTGCGCGGAAACAGAAAACAAGTTTATTTTAGCAAAATATATAGAGTTTACACCCTGAAAAAGAAAAAAAAACCGTTGCACAAAATCGAAAAGCAAAAAAACAAAATTAAATATCACATTAATTTTTGCGCCTCGATTTTTGCTCCTCTTCTTGCTATCAATTTTTGCCACTTTTTATTTTTGCTTAAAACGCGTTTTGATTTACAGCTTCGTTGAAAAACAAAAACAAAAATAAAAAATGTTCCACTCGTTTTTGCCAGTTACCGCTGGATTTTCTTTTTTAAGCACCAATTTTATTTATTATTTATTTTTTTTTAGGTTTTTCAGGCCAAACAGGAATTTTAAAGGACGTAAGTTTTATTTCACACTTGCCGCAATATACCCCGTAGTTATATAAATAGTTACATATGTACAATTTATATAAATATGTACGCAAATGCGCAAATATCTTGCCTTAATCAATTTTAAGAAAATTTCTGATAATAAAATTCCGGATATACAAACAGCAAATGAAAACAGGAAAGCTCATCTATATATTTATATAAATATAGGAAGTTAAACAAGTCGCAGTTGCTAACGACTATGAAATACTCTATCGCCGCTTATATATTATATATGTTATTATAGAAAAGAAAGCTTCAGTTTCCATTCAAGTTCGCCGAACTTCTTAAAGAATTTGACTATGAACATAAAACTTACGTTAAGCAAACGTAAAAAACAAGACAGCGAAACAAAACACCTGTTCAACTTTCTGTTTCAGTTGACTGGAAAAAAAAAAAAGAAAAACAATTCACCCTATAGCCAGATGTATTACTTAATAATATTTGTGGGCAAACAAAAGGCAGCGGAAGATAAATGCAAAGGCGTTTACAAACACAAAACATTTCCATTGTCTGTGGCCCAAAAATAAACATCTGCATATTTTTAGCGCTGAATTCACAGAGAAAATTCTATGAACGATGGGGGCAGAACTCTTTAATCTTCATAGCAAATTTATATATCTTTAACTGCTGTCAAGGCAAGGAAAATAAAAATTCTACCAAATGCCAGTAAACTATTACTAGATATCTCTCAAGACTCTATACCTTATTTATGTCTCATATGACAAAGAGATAAGTCTGAGAGGGATGGCAAACACAGCTTTTTAGTTTTTCTCAATGTTTAATTTATATTTCATTAGCTATTCATAAGAGATTTCAATTCATTTCATTTCAATTTACATTTCGTATGCATACAAAATTCTCATATGCACAAAAACAAAATGAAGCAAAAAATATTGGATACAATTTAAATATTTGCTGCAAACGCTGCGCAAATAGTTTGAGTAACAGCCGCAACCACAAAAACAGAATGGGAGCCGATGCCAAATGCCAATGCCAATGTCGAAGTCGGAGAAGAAGAAGCAGGAGTTGCGGCAGCAGCAGCATCCGTAGCAATTAGAGCGCATCCCAGTCACATAAAAACAAAGATGCATTATCAAGGTTTCTATTCATGAAATGCAATTCTTTTGACCCCTTAACTCAGCGGTTCCGCAACTGTTGACAGCACAATTCCCCACAGTTGCTGACAACACGAATTTGACAACAAAACTGTCCAGCAAAGACAAACTTTTTCTTCGCATAATTACAAGAGAAACAACAAGCGCTGGCTGCCCTTAGATAACTTTGTCTTCTGTGCAGTTAATTAGTGTTTGCATGAATGTAAAAATATTGTAAGAGAATAACTTAACTTTAGTATAACTTTCTGTTTGTCTGACTTGTTTACTATATTCATATGTATATGTAGCCAGTGACTTACTCTATAAGTTTGTTTTCGTTTCATATTATCTCTAACCTCAAAATAAATATCAAATACTCTAAGTACATCTAAAAGATGTATCCTTGCTCCAATTTATTTTTCAAATTTTAAATAAATATGTGAATAAGAGCAAAACGATTATTGTTTATGTGTATGTGCATGTGTGTGTGTGTGTGCTTGTATTGGAACAAAGGCGGATGGGTTACTCACATTATTGGATGGGATGGCCTTGTGTGTTGCTTGCCACGATCTCGCAATTTCTCTCGCTAGCTCTCTTACTCTCTCTCTCTGTCGTTTGGTTTCTATTACTCTCTTGACGCCTCCCACGTTGCTGGCTTACAGTTATGTAGATAAAGCGTTTGCTTGATTTTGATTTGCTTATTCTTAATGTGATTCACATTCGTATTACATTCGCACATAAGTATTGTAAATTCTTCTGATTGCCTTTTGGGTTTCGTTTGAATTGCTTTAGCACTTGTTTCACTTTGTTGTGGTTTTTGTTTGTATTTCTTTTTTTTTTTTTTTTCTTTACATATTTGTTATCGCGCCGCAATTCGATTTGTTATTATTTCTCGCATATATTTGTATATATTCGATTGGGTATTTAATTTTATAAATCTTGCTTTCTGAATGAAAAGTATTCTGGTTAATTATGTGCATTTATTTAGCAGACAAGCAGGCACACACGCACACACACACAAGGCGAATATGTAGATAAAGGAGAGCGAACAGAGCGAAACAGCGCTAATGATGCTTTTAGCGGCAAATTGCAACAATAACAGCAACTGACTTGAAGTCGAAGACTACGGTAAGGCAACCGGCTCAAAACCCAACTCCAAATATAAAGCGTGATTTAAATTCAGCTAGATGATGATTATGATTTTCATGGAACGATTCAGTTGCTTCCTTAAAAAACTCAGCCTATAACTACCCTGCGATTATTTTGTATTCCCTTTCGCACTGTCCCATAGATACTTTTGCAAGTAGGGAAATCTATTTTATTTACAGCTTAGATAAAGAACAAAATGGCTTGCAGCGGAATTCGGATTTTATAGCGATTTATCACAAAGTTCTGTTATCTTTACATTTACGTCTCAAGCGTTTTAAAAATCACTCAGTTTGTATTTGTTTTTCTTTTTTTTACCAAGCGTTTTTCCGCATGTTTTGAGATTACATGCACACACACTCACACACACAACTCTCGCAAGCACATCAAGATCGTTACGAGAGAAAGAAAATGAGAGAATGTGAGAGCGTGCTATTACACGCAACAGCGAGAAAAATACTAAATATTAATTATCAGATATTAGTTGATGTGCAAATATTCTCATTAACACATTTTGTTGTTTTACTTTTTTTTAAATAATTATCTCGAGTATTTTACAAAACAATGCACACACACATACACATTCATACACAAGCTCCCGATTATTTGAAAATTGTTGCATAAATATTTTTAATGTGTTTTTTGTTTATTTTTATTTTGATTTTACTTTACTGCTGTTGTTGCTCCAGAAACAAGAAAACACACCGAACGATGGCGCACTCTTTTGCCCCAATCCAATCAAAATATATAATAAACATACATACATGCGTACATATATGTATGTATATATCTCGTTTGTGTATGTATGCGTGCACGTAGTCTGCAATCCGTGAATATCAACTTGAAACGCAGGCGAATAGAATAATACTGAAAAGCGTGAAGCAAAACGAACGCTGAATTGGCTCCAACGTCGCCTCGCTGAGAGAGCGGCAACGAGAGCGAGAACGAGAGACCAAAAGAGCGAACAGCGCAATCACAGACAGGCAGGCAGATCAAGCAGAGTTGTTGCTTGTTTTTGTATGCGTGAGCAACTTTTTTTCTGCCGCTCAGCTCACTGATACAAATGCAAATGGACATATATACAGACATTAGTACAAACATACATTCAGAAAAGAGGCATCTGCAGCAAAATTCTATTTTTAAACTTAAATTAATATTGTTCTTTATTTTATCAGCAGCAGCGCGAAAATAAAGCGCCGACAGCGGCTGCTGCGACAGCCAATCTCTTCTATCTCTCTCTTGCAATTTACTTATATAGGTGTATATGTACACATATGTGTGTGTGTGTGGGTGTGCAGTTGAAAACCAGAAAACAAATAAATAATACAACAAAACTAGACGCGTTCGTTGTTGTTGTTGTTGGTGTGGCTTAGTTAATGCTAATCAGCGAAGTCAACGACAACGCGTGAGATATCAGTGCCTACTAAGTGGACATGCCAGTGTGTTTCAGTGTATGTGTGTGTGTTTGAGCGAAGGAGGCAAAAAGCGAAGCTCAAATGCTCACTCTGCTCTTTGACTGTTGTTGATGTTGTTGTTGTTGTTATTATTATTGTTGCTGTGGATGTCGTCTGCTCTGCTATCAACGCTTGATAAGAAATGCGTTAATCTTTATTATGCGCGACGTAAGCAGCGCAGTTAAGCTGCATACAAACATGCATATGTATATGAACATGCATAGGTACATATGTATGTATATATACATACATAATTATATATGTACATACATATATGTACATACATATTTATGTATTCATATGATATCCAAGTGTGAGAGTGCCTTTAAAACTTTTTATTTATTGACATTTCCGCTAAGAATTTGCAAGAGGCTAAAGAAAATCAAAACCAAATGTGATTTATTCGCATAAAACAAAACATAAACAACAATAGCAGAAGGTAAGAAAATAGCGAACAGCAACGGCAACAACTTGTTGATGATTCAATTGTAAAACGCTGTTGACAGTGGGGCAAAACGACAAAAACGGTGTGTGGATTACAAATATAGAAATGGAAAATGCAACGCCAGCACATTCCTGGGCGGAGGACGGCTCAGCTGTTTTATCTGCCCCACGGCAAATAAAACACAAGAATTAAAATGCCGCAAGAATTACTCACACACACACATTCACAGTAAGATAAAGCGGGAGAGGCAATGAGAGATTATGAGAGTGGCAGAGCAAGAGAGAGAGAAAGAGCAGCAGCAACAGCAGAGGGCCTGATGCTCTCATCGATAGTGAGAGTGATCTGATGCTTTATCAGCGGCGGGCGGCTATTTTTAGACAAGCGCAAGAGCGACCACAAAGCAGCAGAGCACCAAAAATATAAAATCGAAATAAAAATTTCCCAAAATATATAATAATTTTGATATTGTTTTGACAAACAAAAATCTGAAGATTTTAAGTAAGGCAGCACTGGTGAAAAACAGAGAAAGAGTAAACGAGACAGCGAAAGGAGAGATGAACATTATTATTGGTGCTTTGAATGATTATGCCGCAGGTTGGATGTGTGCGAGTGAATTCTGGGAATGTGTATGAGTGTGTGTATGTGGGAGTGATAATGCACAAATAAAAGGCAAACAATGCCATTTGCTGCAGTCAACGAGATAAAACTGAGCTTAGCACCGCAATGTAACAATAAGAAGAAGAAACACAAACAGTTATCATATAACAACTTTGATGGAAATGCAAATGCATAACGTAAAAGGCGCATCTGCATCAACCAGAACAACAACAATAATAATAAGAACAAGAACAATCAGATTCTTAGAAAACGTGACAAGCGTACTTTACGCCAACTTTTCTTTTGTTTTGCTTTTCAATCACTTTTGCATTTTTCCATTCACGATCGCACAAACAAGAAACATTTCAATTTGAAATATGACCGATGTTCGATTTGTCAAAAGTTATTGATATAACAGAATTAATGTTTATTGGAGCGGTTGAAAATATGAATTGAATTTTTATTATTACATTTAATCTCAATTTTAAAAAACTCAGCACTTTTTGAGATGAACTGTTGCTGATAAAAATAGTCCGCGCACACAAGTCACGCGACGTCGAACGAAGGAAACAAACTGGCAGTTAAATTTGATGCACCGCAAAAAGAGTGAGCAGAGCTATCGATTGTGCGCTTAATATTCAAGCTATCGATATTTACGTCCACTCAAATAATAGTGTGGCAGCAGTATTAAAAATACCAAATTGATTTAAATAATAACGTGTTTTTTATATTATATAAAAGATAGTTTCACGAATAAAGATTTGTGCGCCTTTTACATTAAAATGTTATTTATACCAGTTAGCATGGGACGTTCCTTTGGTCCACAGAGAAATGTGCCCCATACCTGTAAAAATTCGCTTCGTCCAAGTAATTTTTGGGGGCCTAACGTACTAAGATTTATGTTTTGCCTCATCAATTGCACCGGTCCATTAAAATTAAAATGGTAATGACTATGCGTCACATAAACTTTTTGTGCCATCGAACTCAAAGATTCCGTATCTTGCGCTATAGACAAACCACTCGAAGACATTGTAGCTGGCTGCTTCCACATAAGAACGGAACTTGGATCGTCGGCTTCGGAGCTGCTGAAACAACTGCTGGAGGAATTGGAACGGCTAGATTCATTGACAGCACGCAGTTCCTGAAGCAATTCACGACAATGCTGCTGTAAATCATTTAACTGCTCTCTTAACTCTATATTTTCTTGATGAGCCAACGTTTTCTCTTCCAAATTCCAATTCTGTCTCCTTTCCATATTTGGCTCGATCTCTACGTAACGTTTCTTCTCCATATTTCGTTTCATCGCCCCTTTTTTTTCGGCCTCCAACTGCCTCTCCATATGCCACTGCGCCTTCTTCAATTTATATTCCACTTGCCATTTTTGTTCAGTCTTCCAATCATGTTTATTTGGCACTTCTGCACTAAAAGCTTCCTCCACTTCCATTTGTTTCTCATCCTCTACTTCCTCCTGATCAGCATACTCTAAGTCTTCCATTGACATGAAGTTGCTAAGCGGGACATTTTGAATACAATGTCTGGCCGTTTTTACCAACCACTGCGCAGATGCTGAGATAGCAATAGCGACCAAGAGTATGATGCCATAGTTGACAATCAAGTCATAGGTAATTTGTAGAAAATGAATTTCTGGAGAATCATTGGGACAAGATTTTGACTCAGCTACGTAAGTGGGTTTCACTTAAAAAAAAAAAAAAAAAAAAAAAAAAAACAATAATTATTATTCGTATGAAATTATTAGAATATCTTTACCCGTGAAGATTTTCACTTTGTGGCCGTAGTGAGTTTGATCCTCAATTGCATGTAAATAACACAGCAACGACCAGGATATGAATGCCAAGGCGCACAAAAAAGTAATACTTATGTTATGAAACATATTTGCCCTATAAAATTCGGAATATTGTTTAAAACATGTGTCCGCTTTTAAATCAATAAACTAGTGTACTGAATTTGTCTACCGAAACGAAATAAGTAACTACAAACAAAAGGAAAGCATGGATTGCTATAACATTTTTCATTGTATTCAAAAAAGATTCTATCGATAAATGGTACACGTTTTAATTGTTAATTTAGAATTCAAAGTGATAGGTATTTTAAATTTAGCCCGCAAGAGCGAACAATCGATGCCATTGTAACTATCGATAAGTACACTTGTTGGCGCACCTTGTGATTGGCACCGCTGAAACGTGCAGATTTATAATAAACACAATACAAAATGGAATTAATGGTATAGTGAACCTAATAAACGTACATTTAAAGCAAATTAAAATATTCAATCAATACAGCATGGCGCTTCCCTGCTTTCGAGGCCTGCAGAGGAGTTCGGCAATGATTCGCTTGTGGAGGAAATGTGGGCGGCCAAAGCACTCGAGCATGCCGAAGTGCATTTTAATGTGAGTGGAACTAATAATAAAAAGATGCATAAGTAAGCAAACCATTGAAATCAACAACTTTCGTATAGCTGCTGACCAGCGTGCCGCCTTCACAGCTGCGTTTGACACCCTATGATGATCAAATCTACGCCACATTTCGCCAAGACTTTCCCGACTTACAAGTGGCTCGACTCAGCGACGAAACTCTCAAGTCGGCGACAGAGAAATTGAAATGGCGTCAATTTGCTGAGAAATTCAATAAAATGGAAGACTACTCGTACGGCACTCTGATGCGGGCCGATGCCAGCAAGGAATTCTCCCCAGAAAACTCGATATTCGTGTTTCGTGTTCAGTTCCTGGCCATTGAAATTGCGCGCAATCGCGAGGGCCACAACGATGCGGTGCACAAGAGCCATCGCCCCGCGAAGAAGACGCAAAGCACCGAGGAGACGGCGCAATGAAAAATACCAACTGCCTTCGCTGATTTAGTTTAAGTTTTAAAGTTATTAAAGTGACGCATTTATGGCTGTAGAAAATGCAACCCACTGAACATGTCTACACTGCAATCTGTTGAATTCTAATCAGCATCTGTAAGATCGAATGTGAAATACCAAGAGTCTAACGTCTCATCAGGTCATTCGTGAACTCTCATTCGAATTCCAATAAGAAATAACGTTTCCAGAAGTACGATTTAAAGTTAAACTTCTTTTAATAGAAAAGTGAATTTCCACGCTGTTTTCAATCATACTTCATATAATTTATATAAGCTATGAGCTAAGTATTGTCCGCACTAGGCGCAGTTTTGGCCCCTTCAATCAGTCTTGCTTGCTCGGGGGTTGTCGCCCCCTCCACTACAGTCCATTGCTGTTGCACATCATCAGGATGAAGGGTATCATCGAATCGATTTGCATTTGGCCCACCAGATTGGAAAAGAACAGTTCCTCGGTGAGCTCTGACTCCAGCACGCTCAATGGCAGCAGGCTGGCAAATAATCCATTCGCCCGCTCCTCGCCGCCGCTCTGCCGGCGCAGCGTGGCCAGGGCATAGAGCTGGACCCGTTTCACATAGGCGCGCAGTGAGCGCTCGCGTCGATTCTGCTGCAGCATGAGCGGATTGAAGAGCAATACCAGACGCAGCAGTCCAAACTCAAGGTCCGTCACCTCCTGCGGTTGCAGCTCCTGTACAAAGTCATGCAGGGTGCGCGTGATCTGGGCTAGCTTCGCGACCTTCTGTGGCTCAATCTTATCGATGTCCGCCACCTGGCGCACGGTCTGCACCAGCTGACCAATAATTGTGGGCACCGCCAACTGGCGCTGGCACTGAGCCAACGCGACAGCGAGCAGCGAGGGCCAAGCGCCGCGAAGCAGCTTCATCTGAGTGTGCGTATCGAGCAGCTCAAAGGCGGCTACCTTGCGCAGCGTGTGGACAGTGAGAAAAATAATCCGGGCACCGGTTTCGCATACGTAATGCATATTCAGATACGAATGGACCAGCGGGGGCGGTTGCACATGGAAGCCACACTGCGCCTCGGAGGCAAACAGATCCTGTGTGAAGATCGCTTCATTGGCCACAAAATCGCCACGCTGACAGTACTCAAAGTCCAGGTCCATGTGCTCTACCAGATCTGCGTCCACATCTTCTGTCCCACTGTCTTCTGCATCCGAATCGCATTCGGGTTTGATGCTCAGCGCAGCAGCTGTGCTCTGTCCGGTCTGATTCCTGTCCAACTGCTGCTGTATGGGCTGCAGCAACTGCAGCGCCTTGTCTATGGCTCGCTTGTCCAGCGAACTCTGGATGAGACCCACTGTGGCGGGCGTGGGTATGGTAGATGCATCTGCTGCAGCGGCGGCAGCAGCTGCTGCATTGAAATTTAAATGCTGTGAATTATTGTTGCTGGCGCTGTTTGCCAGCAGCTGAAGGCACAAGGTGCTGCTGTTGTCCATCGAATCATCGTCATCCTCCTCCAACTCTGGCTTGGCCAACTCTGGTGAGTAACAGTGACTGTTTGCATTGCTGCTGGCTGCCTGCTGCTGCTGTTGTTGCTGTGAAGCGAGCACTGAAAGCGAAATGGCTGCTTATCAGAATCTGATTGGCATGTATTGGTGTAGTTGGTCTTACTCAGCGTTTGTGTTAGTTCCGCAAAGTTTAGATTCATCGGGAACAGAGTCTCACTTAACCCAAAGGGCGTTGTTGGTGTGTTGCCCACGGTGGGCGTGGCCGCATGCTGAAAGAGCGATGCAGCCGAGGCAGCGACGGCAGCTGCTGCCGACGCATGTTGCTGCTGTTGTTGCTGTTGCTTCACGCGTACCTGTTGATAGCTCGACTTGCCAGCCGAGGAGACACTGGCGGGGCCGCCTGCACTGCTCGAGGAGCCCGACACACTGCCCGTCCCACCAGAGACGATGCCATCTTTCCTATCCACAATCGGTTTGCGTTCGTGCTGCACGGCTGCAGATGGCGATGATGGCATAGAAAAGTAAAGCAAAGCAAAGAGAAAGCTGTTTATAAAGTGCTGCAGTAAAATAACTGTATATGATGTGCAGCTAGTTGTGGAGAGATGTGCACTGGGTGTGTCTATGTGTATAAGTATGTGTGTGTGTGCAGGTAAGCATGCATGCAGTATTAGTATGGATAGCTGAGCCTGTCTTTTCTTTTAGTTAAATTGTTTTTATATAAATTCAGTTGATTTATAAATTAAGTTTAATTACTTTTCAAATAAGTATAGAAGTCCATTTGAAATGACAGCCTAAGTAAAATGTCAAAAGCAGAAGTTAGAATAATATTATCACTCACTCTGATTCAACAATTTTAAATTCAAACGCATATAATTTTAAATTCAAATTATTGCTAATTGCAAATTAGTTTCTATGTCGAAAAAAAGGCAGACAAAAGCCCCATCCATGCTGAGTGTTGTGTGACTGCGTGAATGAATAAATGTGCGTGTGTGTGCTTTTGTGAGAATGAATGTGGGGGGACTGGTGGAGGACTGTGGTGCTGTGCGTGCAATGTTGTCTGTTTTGATTTGAATGGGGATTTTTGAGACGACGACTTAAACGAAAATTACAATCACTTCGCATGCCGCTGGCCAAACACTTTTGCAGCCGACAGAATTGACACCTGTTGCGATGGTGTTTGGTCACCTCGCAGTTCATTGCGCCGCGGCACTGGTAGCCCAGTTGCTTGCGTATCGAACGCTTGAAGAAGCCCTTGCAACCCTCGCAGCTGATGGCGCCATAATGGCGACCGGAAGCACGGTCCCCGCACACCAGGCACAGTTCCACGGACGAAAGAGACGCAGCGGCTGCCGCAGAGCTGGCCGCATTTCCGGCCGCGACGGCGGCTGCATTGCTGCTGCTGCTGCTGTTGCTGCCGCTTGGGTGATTCAAGCCCATGGCTCGGCTCTCTGCAAATCAGATCAACAAAGAGAAAAAAAAATCGTGAAATAACACACATTTTTACACGCACTACAAGTTTTTCAGCTTTGCTCACCTTCGGTTTTAATGCCGCTGCTTGTGCCCATCATGAAGCCCAACTGAAGACTGCAAGCTGTTGCTTCTTTGTGTTAGTTTGCCTTTCTTATTAGAACTTGTTTTTCGTTACGACTGTGTGCGTGCGTGTATGTTTGTGCATACGTGCGCTGTTTATATTAACTGCTATTAAACGTTTTGGAAAGGCTTTGAGAACATTGTTTTCGAACTCACGAACGATTATTATGTTTACTTTACACTTTGACCTTACATATGTCACTTAAATTAAATATCTAAAGCCATTTAGAATGAGCTTTAGAGGAACAGCGAAAATCTTCAACCTTTCGATAAAACACTTTCAGCTTTGTGGCAACGCCAACACATGGTGTGACCATCAACCGGATTCGTTATTTCCCTCCATGTCTTACTTCACTTGAGAATCGATAATCGTTCGGCGATAATTGGAAATTGCGATAATTTAACCTATAGTGCGCCAGTTTGAAAATTATATTAGCACTAGTACATCTTATTTATAAAAATACAATTTATTATACAATTGAAATCATTACACAAAGAATAAAACATACAAATCACTTATTTACTTGTTTTCTGTGAAATTAATTACACTTTTTTGGTCTTATAAACGAGTAAGCCACAAATTGCCCTCAAAAAAGCAGCTGCTTGCAATGGGAAGAGGTCAAAAAATCGTAAAACACTAGCGCGAATCAATTTGGGAAGCGCACAATTTTAACCTACAAACATTTCACGATACTACAGATCAACTATTCTTACACAATTATCAACTACAGTCTGTTTACATTATTTATTCTTTAAGCCCATTGCACGTTTTGTGGCGCGACCAAGGAAGATGCCAGTCAGAAAGACTAAGCCCGTGGCGCTCATTAATATCACAAGGAAGAACTTCCGTGCCGGTGATGCGACCACCTGCTGCACCAGCTGTCCCATATCCTCCAATGGCAGAGCCAGTGTGTCATCCGCATTGCGAAACATTTCAATACGCTTCTGCAGCTTATCGCGACAGTCCGGCTCCAGTGATTTTGGCGACTCGCGCAATAATCTACGCAGACAATCCAGCTCTAAGTGAATGCAGAAAGTAAAAGCAAAAATGGATATTAAATATTGGAATATATAATGGCATTAAGACAGCTTACTGCGTGCATTGCCACTAGCCACATTGCCGCAATAGCGCAATAGATCCACAGTGCAAGCCATTTCCAGTATGGGATCCACATGAATATCCGCCTTGGCCTCGGCTATCAGTGTAGCCACCTCCAGTTGGCACTCGCGATTAATAAGCTGCTTGCGCAGAAAGGCTGCCTTCAGGCATTCCTCGACCTGGCCATGCTCATCTGCATCCATATACTTTTTGCAGAGTTCCTGTATCTCAGACTTGCAGAAGTGCTGCAGCACGGGATTCAGCTTATAGTTTAATGCCTGCTCCTGCAGTATTTTGATCATTTCCTGGGCGCATTTGTCATCCAACTTTGATTGTCTGAATTTCTCCTTTAAGCATTTAATAACCTATTTAAATGAAAGGTAAGAGAAATTTATTTACAGCCAATTACGAGAAATACCATTAATAATAATAAGAATTCATAATCAAGAATATTTCTATTTGAATTGGCTTGCTTTCGCCGCAATTTTTAAAGTCTGCGCTAACTCATTTTCATGAATTTTCCGATTTACATGGAATACAATATAATATTTTCGCCAGCTCAGTTGATAGAACTGTTTGCAGCGATAACGAACCGTAATAAACGATCGCAATTGTCGAGCTAGTTGGGCTCGCACGTTCTTCCCATTCAGTTCAATTCGATGCGTAGACGTGTCGTATACGTGATGTTAGCTCTTTGCGGGCTGGTGCTCGCTGGCCTCGTCGCCTGGCTGCTGGTCTCGATGATTGCGGTAGCGGATGCACAGACACCGATGTCAACAGTGACCGTTGACCTGTCCGGACAACAGGGCACAGTGCGCGGCAATTACGGACAGACAGCGTGGACGGGCCAGAGCTTCATGCAATTCCGTGGCATTCCCTACGCAGAAGCACCCATTGGAAATCTGCGCTTTCGTGTGGGTTAATAGTCCAATTTGTCGACTAGTGATACGACAACTGATAAACGACCTTTATGACGTTATTTATTTTTGTACCTTCCCACGAAAAAAAAAACAGCAACCGGTTGCTCGCTCACCCTGGTCTGAGACGCTCGATACCTTGGACTTTGGCCAACGCTGCCCCGTGATAACCAATTTGGATCCAAAGATGTCTGACGCTCAGCTAGAAGATTGCCTAAATCTGTGCGTCTACACAAAGAACGTAAGTGCTATCGAAAGTTAGCTTTAGACACTCTAAGAGTTTTACCCAAATTAAGTTAGATTTGCGATTTTTAAGCATTTGATTACTTGGAAATGGCTTTTGAAGCAGTTATAAATTGTTGAGGGTTTCAATTAACTTGAATTCAAGCACCTGAATAAAAAAGATTAGAGGGAAACTAATTATAAACGTAGACCTAATTAAGTTAAGGCTCAATAGCCCTAGATATTGTGCACAATATAAACAATGCTAAACAGCTGTTGAAGTAGCTGCAAAACAAAGGCCTTTCGCTTTTTTCCGATTGGCGATAAATAGTTGGAAAAGCCAGAATTAACATGAGTCAATCTGAACTCAAGCATGAAATTGAAATGTGGTTTAAAACGTTTTTTATCAGCAGTTAAGAATTTTATAACAAGCTTTTGCACGGCAGATGCTTTCTATAACTCAATTCACTTTTGTGCTTCCTTTTACAGCTTACAGCGCGACAGCCGGTAATGTTCTATGTGTATGGCGGCGGCTATTACAACGGCTCATCGCAAGATCATCCGCCGCACTATTTGCTGGAACGTGATATTGTCCTGGTGGTGCCACATTATCGCGTCGGCGCCCTGGGCTGGCTCTCCACACTCACTGAGCAGCTGCCTGGCAATGCGCCGATAGGCGATATACTCCTGGCCCTAGATTGGGTGCAGCGGCATATTCACAGATTTGGCGGCGATCCCAACCAGGTGACCATATTTGGACAGAGTGCTGGAGCGGGCGTCACCAGCGCCTTGCTGCTGAGTCCACGCACCGCCAAGCACCATTTCCAACGTGCGATTGTGCAATCCGGTTCGATATTCGCTAGCTGGGCTATTACCAAAGATCCCGCTGCCCAGGCACAGCGGATCTGCAAGGAGTTGCACTGTGAGCGCTGCGAGGAGCAGGAACAGCTCTTGCGCTGTGTGCGTTCTGCATCGGTGCTGGAGCTGCTGCAGGCCACCAAAGCGGAGAGTTTCTCTCCGCTTGTGGGCGATCTGCAGGGCATATTGCCAGAACACCCGGAGGAACTGCTCAAGCGTCGCCAACGTTCTGTGCCGCTCATGACGGGCTTTACACAGCACGATGGCTCCTTTGTGCTTGCCTGTGAGTGGACAAAGACTAATATTTGTGAATGTTCCTTGATGCAATCCCTTGCAGCATATTACGATGCTCTGGCAGCCAAGCTCGTCAATGTCAGTGATCTCAGCGTGCGGCAGTTTTCACAGGGTCTCATCGATATGGCTAAGGACGCCACAGGTCTGGCAGATAATTTGTTATATCGCCTGCTCTTCACGCGACAGCTGTTGGAAAGCCACGCCCACAAGGCTGCTCTGCCGGCATATTTTGATGTGAGTTAGAGCAGGAGTAATTAATTGAACTTTAGCTGATTTTCTCTCTCTCTTTCTCTCTCTCTTTCCTAGCTCACTTCGACAATTTATATGAAGTCGCCCGTCATCAGCCTGGCCACCAAGCTGTTCACACATCGATCGGACGCTCCTGTCTATGTCTACAGCTTCGAGTATGAGGGCGAGCACACGCGCTTTGGCTACGAGTTTGGCAATGAGCATTATCCCTTCAATGGCGGCGTCCATCACTCCAATGACAATATCTATCTATTTGCCACACATTCACTGCAAATGGAAGACACACTCATGGCCCAGAACATGGTGGAGCTATGGACATCGTTTGCCATTGACGGTGCGCCCAAAGATCTGAATCCTCTGACCAGTGCCAGTGGACCCTACAATCGACTCGGCCTCCACCTAAAGACGGGCGACGATTTGCTGGAAACGCTCACAGCGACAATTGATGATCCAAACAATTCGCGTTTGCAGCGCAAAAATATGGAGTTTTAAAAAGTCATCGAATATATATGTATTTATATATATATTATATTGTAGACTTGGAAATGTAATAGAGCTAAACTAACCATATTAGCTATACTTGTATGTAAACTAACAAAAGAATAAATATACGGCTCAGCTAGCCCTTAACTTAATCTTTTGCATCATAGAGTTTGATATATTGCTGCTATTCACGGTGCAGTTTATAATATATAAAGACTCTAAAGATAAGTTGATGGAATGACTTGCTGTCACCTCTGATATTATATATATATATCTCTTTACGATTTGCAAATAACAAGACTTTAGTGCATGCTCTATATATTTATAATCATATATAAATATATAATCATAATCATTAAATAAAAAACAATCACATATCAGCTAACCCAATTCAGTCGCATCTACTTTCTACACTAACTTATCTTAATTGAAAATGTTTTCCCTAAGCTTTCCCATTCGTTTGCCTTGATCGCATGCCAAATCAATTAAAATATGTCAATTGACTACTCACCTTTCCATTCAGTTCCTCATTCGGTTGAGATTGTATCACAATATTGGAGCAGTACCGATCAATGTTCTTGCCACAGGCACTCTGTAGCGTAGGATTGAAACGAAAGTCTGTATTTTGTTCGATCATTCGATTGACGACCACCAAATGACACCGTTGATCAAACGTCGGATCATCCTTGTAGGTCTTTAAGCAGTTCAGCAGCTGCATTGATTCCGTGTTGGGACAGAATTTATATATCATCTCCTTGCAGGTGTTGATCAGCGTATAGTCGGTGCCACTGTCCCCCAGCTCCGAGCGTTTGATCATGAATATCGCATGATGACAGTTCTTGCCCAGACGAGGTGTTTTCTGTATCAGACACTCCAAGGCCTGTAAAAAAATACTCTTTAGTAGTTTGTACTCAAAGAATTGAATAAGTTTATCATTGTAGGTGTTGGATTGTGTTAGTGGATTAATAAATGCTTGACTTGGATGACTTGCATTTTTATTCACCTGACCGGGGCCATTCTGATCAGAGCAGAACTGCTTTAACTCGTTCTTGCAAACGTTAGCCAACTTGGGATCAAGCGAAATACTTTCACGCTGCTGATACAGCTGCGACTTGACCTGCTGTCTACATTCCTTTGGTATCTGATGCCGCTGAGCGCGTATCGTATCGTTGCGCATGACCTCACTGAGGCAGGCGACAACCTCGTTTTTAGTGGCGCTTGCACCACAGAAGCGCAACACATGCGGACGGCACGCCTCCTTGAATTTGGTCGTGAAATGATAGCTCTTCAGCGAGATTATCTGAAAGTGTTCGATGGCAGCGCGACAGCCCTTGTTCAGGTCAGCATCGTTTTTGTGCGAAATCAGACAGTCCATCATGTTCCCTAAAAGATAGAGAACATTAGTTGGGGAACAGTTGGTGAAGTAACTAAACTAACCACCATCCTTGCCGGCATTAAGTATTTCCGAGCAATGCTTTTGCATTGCCTCCGAGCAAGTAGCCATTATAACCGGATTCATCTCAATGTTGGCTGCCTCCTCCTCTGTGTATTTGGTCACCACCGCCTTACACTCAGGCTGCAGCTTCTCCAGCCTATTCTGCAGGCACTCCATTTCGGAACCCTTCTCGGTGAGCTCGCCACAGAACTGAGACAAGTCAAGAAGACAGTAATCTTCTACCTCTGGTATCAGATCCACAGAGATCGCCCGCTGGCGCATCACACGTTTGACCTCCCTAAAGCAGTCCTTGCGCAACGTATGATGTTCGTCCTCGCTGTATGCCATACGATGCAGGCAGGGCAATATCATGGGGCCACGCTCGGGATCCATTTGTACATCTTGTATATCGTCCCATTGGTGCTTGGCGCGGCAGTACTTGACAGCATCGTCGCGGCAGTGCTTGTAGAGCTGCGGGTCCAGTTTGAAGTCGCGCGCCACAAAATACTCAATGATAAGCAAGGCCTGCTCACACTCCGGCCGCATAGCCGTCGTGCCTATGTGTTCTAAAAGGCAACTCATAACACGCGCTTCGCCGCCTTCCACGTCCTTGCAGGCCACATCAACGACTTTTTTGCAGGCACGCCTGAGCACAGGATCCACACGCCAGTCCTCGCCCGCGTCGCTGGCCTTGATCAATGTCTCCAGTCCACGCTGACATTGAGCTGTGACGCGTCGCTGTGGCCGCCTTGCACGCACATGATACATAAGGCAGTGAATGATTTCCCCACCAGAACTGGAGAGGCCGTTAACCAGCTGCGACTTGTGTTCGTCGGGACAGAACTTGGGTATGTCGTCGGCACAGTCGCTGAGCAGCTCGGGCGACAGCTGAAAGTCTGTCATGAGCATGCGTCGATGATCGTCCAGTTCAACGAGGCACTCGGGCGCCAGCTTCGTGCCGTTCTTCGACACAGACTCCAGGCAGAGCAAGATTTGCGCCAAACGCACCTGTTTGTCCTCGGAGACGCCGCGTCGACAATGATGCAGTTTAATGTCATCCTTGCACGCCTTGGCCAGACCATGCGAGACTCGATAATCTTTACCCATTTGCTGGTCACGCAATGTTATCTGAGCTGCACACTGGCTGCTTAGTGCTGGATCATTCTTATGCCGAACGAGGCACTTGTAAGAGTTCGCCGAACCGGCACGTTCCTGCAGAAGAGATTGAGCATTAGTTACACTACAATTTGACTATTAGCCAACTCACTTGTGGGCACAGAGCAGTTAGATCTCCGGAGCACACGCGAAACAGCTCCAGCATGCCACGCTGCTGCTCAATGGAATTGATAGCCACTTTGCAGTTGATGTCCATGGTTGATTGGCTAGCATGGGCAACTAGGCATTGGGCCGTGCCAAGCTGGGAGAGCATCGATGGCAAATGCTCAACATTCATGCGTCCACACTTTAGCTGCTCCACCTGACCGCCGCAGGCTGCATAGAAGTCGCCAATGCTCGCATAGTCCTGACCCAGTGACGTATAGGCACGGCGCAGCTGCTGCTGGCAGCCGCTGCTCTGTGGCAGCTGTTGGCGTTTGTCTTCCAGGCAGGACCACAGATCGACCGAGTTAAGGCAGGTTAATAGTTTTGTTTGCTCATCGGCACAATAGCTGGGCAGGAATGTGTGCTCCACCCAAGAGTTGAGCTGCAGTTGGCGCTGCTGCAGCCAGAGCGCATGTTGGCAGTCATCGGGCAGTGCCTCCAACTGACTGGAACTGAAGCTTAACGCGCACTCCAGCATGGCCAAATTGTCAGTTGACTTCAGATGGGTGCAATAGTTTTGCAGATCTTTGCAGCCTGGTAGATCGATGATGCTGTGCAATTGAGCTGCAGTTGCCTTTGTATTGTCGGCGACAACAGAAGCGCGGCGTATACGAACTTTTGCGGGGAGCACATCATCGTCACCTGCTGCTGCCCACAGCCACGACAACAGCAGCAAACACTTAAATTTCATATTTCTTCTGTGGAAATGCTCTCAACTTCAACTGGACATTTAAGCAGGTGCATATAACAATGCTGCACTGTATACTAACTGTACACAATTATAATAAAACAAATATAGATATCAATGTAAAATATCAATTCGTTACACGTTTGCCGGCAGAAAATGCAGCGTTCAGTTTCTTATCATTTCTTTTTTAATACGAACTATGTACGCTTGGTGAGTTGAAATCACCCTTTGCTTTGTTATAGCATTAACATTTAAATTTCTATGCTCAGCAATTTTTTGTGCAATAAAGAATTACACGATCCTCTCAGTTTTTTATTAGAACACTTTACTTGCTCAACAGCTGCATATCGAATGCTAATAAGAATAGTAGACATCGATTGTTATATGACTGCTAATCGATAGTCATTGTACAAAACATATCAAACTTTGTGACGTCATGCTTCAAACCACTGACCGATAAATTTACTTCTTTTGGGCTGCTCATCTCTAGCAGTCTATGAGTCGTTCGGAAACTGAAGAAAGTTTTCAAGCTGGCAAGCTTTTAATTTTAAATACCAGTAATTGTATGTAGAGAATACTTAAGTCATCACTCAATCCATCATCATACTGACGCATTCCATATTGCGAACATTTAAAGTAGCGTCCTCCAACTACGGCATCACGGTGGACGTCTACAGAAGCTGAGGAGGCGGCTAACGAACGCACACCGCTCATGGACGCACACGTAGCCCCATCTTCGTCGTCTTCATCGGCGACGTCGGCTGGCGCTCATGGCAGTCTGAGCGGCGCAGCAGAGCGTTTGGAGCGTCCTCCAAGGCGACAACAAGCACACCAACGCAATTACGGTTCGAATGGAAATCAGGAACAAATGAATAACGCAGATCAAGCTGATGGGGTAAGTGATTTTAAAATCTATATATTTATTACATAGCTAAAATTTTTTGTAATCTGTAGGCTGTACTAGCCGTACCCAGTGTTGTCATCCGTGAATCGGCATCTCGGCCTTCAAGACTTAGCGCAGGCGGCGGCGGCGGCGCCAGTGATGGTGAATCTGGACAACCTGCCGAAGAGGAGCAGGGCCTTAAATACGGTGCTCAACATGTCATCAAGCTATTTGTGCCAGTTTCACTGTGTATGCTGGTCGTTGTGGCCACCATTAACTCGATCAGCTTCTACAACAGCACAGATGTTTATCTGTAAGTATCCGCAATATACTATTAATATATATTATATATCTAACATTTCGCCATCCATTGACAGGCTTTACACACCGTTTCATGAACTCTCGCCAGAGCCGAGTATCAAGTTTTGGAATGCCTTAGGCAACTCCCTGATTCTTATGAGCGTCGTAGTAGTAATGACCATATTGCTCATTGTTCTGTACAAGAAACGCTGCTATCGCGTCATACACGGCTGGCTTATACTCTCCTCGTTTATGCTCCTATTTATTTTCTCCTACTTGTACTTGGAGGAGTTGCTCCGTGCATACAACATTCCCATGGACTATCCGACGGCTGTGCTGATTATGTGGAACTTCGGCGTAGCTGGCATGATAGCCATACATTGGCAGGGTCCATTGCGATTGCAACAGGGCTACCTTATATTCGTAGCTGCTCTGATGGCCCTGGTGTTTATTAAATATCTGCCTGAATGGACGGCCTGGGCTGTGCTAGCAGCCATCTCCGTATGGGGTATAGTCTTTTATATTCCTTATTTTTAAAAAAGTTTTTAATTTATCTCTTGATTACAGATCTCATAGCTGTATTATCACCACGGGGACCTCTGCGTATATTGGTAGAGACTGCACAGGAGCGCAACGAGCAGATCTTTCCTGCTTTGATCTATTCCTGTAAGTGATCTGCTCTCTCCATGATCAAATAGCTCTCTCATTGCCAATATCATTGTAGCTACGGTCATTTATACCTACATGGGTACACACTATGCCCCAGAGCAACCCCAATCACAATCACAATCAGAATCAGAATCACAACCTCAAGCCCAACCACTGTCAACAGCCACATCATCGCCATCAAACAGTAACTCAACAGCTACAACGCGAACCACACACAACTCGTTGGCCTCGCCGGAGCTACCGACATGCTCAAGCAACTGTCGTCCAAGTACTGCGCGCACAAGTACCTCCCGCGTCAATCAGCGCCAGCAGGACAATCAGGCGGCTGCTGAAGGTATGCCACTTGTGACATTTAAAACAAATTTGCACGGACACGGTACATATGCATTTATTTTTATAATTTTATTAACCTCTTAAAAGCCTATTAATTCGCTTGTGTTCTCTAAATTTTGTTTTGTGGCTTGCGCTTAAATTCGAGAATATGGAATCGCCTTTCGATTCCTGAGTTGATTGAATAGTCAGTTGCCTGATTTAGCGCAAATGCTAGTGCATGCTAAAATTTCTTCTGGTTTAGATGTTTAAATGGTGTCGGAACGTTTATATGTATATCTACTTTAATTTTTCTTGCAAGAATCATTTAAATATATATTTTCTATATTCTTACAGAGGAAGCTGCAGGCTTCACACAGGAATGGTCTGCGAATCTGAACAATCGCGTGGCGCGTCGCCAAATTGAGGTACAAAGTACGCAAAGCGGGAATCCACGTCGAGCCAATGAATATCGCACAGTTCCTGCGCCCGAACAGCAACAACCGGAACCTCAGGAAGAACGTAAGTATACTCAGCAATAATTCACATATGCATACCGATGCTAAATATTGCTTTATTATCTGATTTATAGGTGGCATAAAGCTTGGTCTAGGCGATTTCATCTTTTATTCCGTGCTGGTTGGTAAAGCGTCTACCTATGGCGACTGGACTACGACAATTGCCTGCTTCGTGGCCATATTGATTGGCCTTTGCCTGACCCTGCTGCTCTTGGCCATTTGGCGCAAGGCTTTGCCCGCTCTGCCTATTTCTATAACATTTGGTCTGATCTTTTGCTTTGCCACTAACTTCTTGGTTAAGCCTTTTATGGAGAGTCTGTCCGCTAAACAGGTGTTTATATAAAATGACAATTAGTGGATAGATATATATATAAATATGTATATTAAGTACTAGTATTCTCTGTAACCAAAACACCTTTTTACAATACAATCTTTATTTAACAAAGTATAGTAACGAACAAATAAGGCTTATGTTGTTTTTAACTTGACTATTGTTTTGTCTACTAGGTTTATTAGCCAACCTGGTTCAAGTCCATGAAATAGCTGTCGTGGATCCTTGGCTGCAGTGAGCATTTCATAGTTGGGATCGTCCTCGATGCGAGGCAGCTCATAGCCATATTTTTGTGCCAGTACTAAGCGCTCCTTACTGATCTCCTCAGGATTGGCTAAATAGCCGCGATTCTTGGCATCTGTGTAGTACTCAACAGCATCCTGTGGCGGCAGCATGCGCAGTGGGATAGGCACTCCCTTTTCGAACCATTTCTTCGGATTGGAAAGTATGTGAAGGCTGCGTGGATCATAGTAGGCAGTGCGGATGACACCACCATTGCGCTCTACAGCTGCTATGACCGCTTCACTTGCATGCTGCACCTCGATGTTAATCTTGGCCTTGAAATTGTCCAATCCTTCGTCAGTCAACTGAAATCCATACTGAAGTTCTGCTGGTTTCAGCGTCATTAGGCCAGAATTGCAGAGAGTGGCGATGTCAATCGGTTGACTGATATCGATGCGATTGGTGTCGATCAGCACCTGTAGCTGTAGCATTGAAATTGGCGGATATTCTCGGCGCATGTGGTGTCCCTTGTAATAGGGCTCGTAGGGAAAGCGCAAGTAGAAAGGTTGATTGCCGGTTTCGTAGCCCAAACGCATAAAATTCTGTCGCTGGCCAGAACCTTTATTGCCGGCACCATGTTTGTCGCCACCATGTTGAGCACGCCCACGTTTGTCCTACAAATCAAAGAAAATGTTATGAGAACATGTATTGATTGCAATGTTATTCAACCGGCCACAGATTTTACTCACGTTCTGCTTGGAGTTTGGATTTGGTCGCAGATTGCCAATTTGTACGCGTGGCAAGGTACGTAAAAGCTTTAAGGCCTTGTCTGTGCTTTCACGCAAGTGTGCCATCTAAAGTTTAATAAAGAAAATTATATTTTCAACCAAAAATCAACACGAGTGAGTAAATTTACCGCTGTCGCTAATTAGCACTGCTAGCACTGGACTGTCAACACTGGTTGCAAGCGTTGCCAGACAATCATAGTCCCTACGTTTTTAAATTTGTATTTGAGCTTCCATCCCTAGAGCCCTGAATTTTCCCACTCAAAATAAAAACAAAGATTGAAATTATTCTATTTATTTTCTAAGCAGTAATATTTATTCTTGCTGATAATATGAAGTGTACCGCGTGTCAAGGCAAAAGTGACGCAACAATAAAATGCTTTTTGAAAGCAATGGATACCATTAAAGAACACTTTTTAAGTATGCCGCAAATAGCTGAACTAGAGTAAATTAAATATGACACATTTTCTTATAGTGATGCAGGGTCTGTGTGCAGAAAAGGAAGCAACTATTAGTCAACTAAACACTCGTAACGAAAAGCTCCATAACGCTCTTGACTTGTTGCGACAAGGACAGGAGCAACGCCTCAAATCAAGCCCCAAACGACGTAGATTGTCCCCCAAAAAACCCCAAATTAAGAATAACAACACGCAAAAAGCGCAAACGTCTCCATTGATACCTGAGAGTCAGAGCTCACTCAATATGAATATAGCTCTTTGCTCTGATGATGACGAGGAAGAAATCATTACAGAAACTGAGCCACCTATCAGCCCTTATAAGCCCTGGAAGACGCGTCACAAGTCAAGCACACGAAATTGCGAAAATGAACAACCGACTATCACAACAACAACTACTGCAACTGCAACGGCGTCAACAACCGATGCCAACAGCCCCTGGCTGGGCAAAGTACCCAAAGACCGACTGCCAATGGGTAAGACGAAAATGTCGCTCACAATACGCAGCGATTCGCCAAGATTAAAGCAAACCCGCTTACAATTTGATGCTGCCAAGACCAATAATACATCCAGCGATAAAGATATTATTGATTCCAGTCCGAATCTATATTCTTCGCTAAAACAAGCTAAGCAATCACGTTCCCTTTTACAGAGGTTAGTAGGTTGAATTTTATTATTAAGCTTTATTATAACAAAAATTAACCTAATAAGTTTGCAGAGTCGACAACAACAACGTCTCAGATATCAAACCTATCGCCGACTCCGCAAAGACACCAATAAGCAATAAAAACCCCGTGTTTGAAATGGATGACGATGATTCATTCTTTGATCTATGTCCAGACCCATCAGCATCTCAGCCAGCTTCAGGACTTGCTCTACCATCTTTGAGCGGCACTTCAGATACGTCAAGCGTAGTGCTGCTCACACCTGGCACACAGGACATTGTGTTCATTGATGACAGCATTACTGACAACACCTCTCTGAATACTATGGCTTTTATGGAAGAGGCCATCAAGGAGGATGACAAAGTTTCGCTGACAAAACTACAGGAATTCGAAGCTGAGCTAATTCGAAAGCGTCAATCAGAGGCAGCCAAAGTAAAACCAACTGCGGATGTTGTTAGGGTAAAACATGAGCCGCTCACAGAACTGCCAACTCCTTTTGGTAATGAATCAACCAAGTTGCCAGCTGACTTTGAAATGGACGATGACCAGGAAGATGCGGACGAGGAGGAGGAAATATTTCCACGTCCCATTGTAGTCAAACAAGAACCCGAATCGAGTTTGAAGCAACGCTACAATATAACTTGCCCACAGTGCGAAAAGGTAAATATCTCTTATTTTACTCCATTTTCATTGTATATATGTATTTATATTTCTTACAGTTTATCACATTTATGGGCACGAACTTGAATGACGAAAAGATACAAATGTATCTAAATAATTGCAGACACGAACGGGAGTTCGAGAACAACACACCACCCGGCTTTTGGAACCCGCACATGGTTTCGTTCACCGACGAAGATCCACGCAGCAAAGTTCATGTTGATCGTCGCTTTGTCGATGGAAAAAAGAAATAAGACTTATACATTGATTTTTATAGCCATTGGCAAATGCTTTATATTTATATGAACATATCATTACATCTTAATCGTAAGTTACAAATTGCCACGTTTGGCCTGTTCGATCTCAATCGCAGTGAAGAGCGACTTGAAGTTGCCGGCGCCAAATCCCTAGAATAAAATTGATAATGAAACAACAATCGAATGACGACTGAATATAAATCTTACATTGTGATTGAAACGCTGAATGACCTCCAGGAAGAGCGTTGGCCTGTCCTGGCAGTTCTTCGTAAAGATCTGCAACAGGTAACCATTCTCATCGAAATCAACCAAAATATTCAGTTTCTTCAGTATTTCCATATCCTCCTTAATTTTAGTGCGACTGTGCGATAGCTGCTCCTGCAGTATATCATAGTACGACGGAGGAATGGTCAAGAACTCCGTGCCGCGTGCCCGCAAGTTAGTCACAGCTCCAATAATATCATCTGTATTGAGCGCAATGTGCTGCACACCGGCTCCGCCATAGTAGTCCACATACTCTTGAATCTGGGACTTCTTTTTGCCATTGGCTGGCTCGTTGATGGGCATCTTCACAGTCTCCTCATAGTTGGCCATGACGATGGACCGCAGCGCCGAGTATTCCGTGTGTATCTGAGAATCGTCCACAGACCAGAAACGATGGAACTGCAAAATGCGCTCATACCAAGCAGCCACGCTCTCCATTTGCAAGTCCGGCTGATTGCCCACCACGTGGTCAATGAAGTTCAACTTTGCCGGCGGCAGATGCTCCAGCAGCACATCCTTGATGCCACGCTGATAGCCGGGCAAAAAGTCGCCCTTATAACCATTGCGCTCCACGAAAGTGTGAGTCGTATCGCCGTACTGCAAAGAGAGTAAGAGAATTATAATTTTGTGTTATGAATTATTTAATTTAAAGTCGACAACTTACCGTCTTAATGGTGGCAAATCTCACAAAGCCCTGGTCATCGCTTTCCTCCCAAATGTCGCGCACAACTTCAGCGCCACGGGAAACCGCCAGGTTAAAGATTGCATTTAAATCCTCCACTTCGAAGGCCACATCCTTGACACCGTCACCGTGGCGCATCAAGTGCAAGCCATGCTCCTCGTTATCGGTCTCATACGCCGATACAAACACAAAGACAATCTTGTTCTGGCGCACAGCATGCTTCGCATAGCGTCTCTCGCCCGTCTCCAATCCCTGATAGCCAAGTGGTTCAAAGCCCAATCGGGTCGTATAATAGCTGGCCGCCTGCTTGGCGTTGCCAACGTAAAACGTTAGATGATCAAAGCTTAAGAATTTTCCGGCTTCTGGCTAAATACGAATCATAGGTTAACAACTCCGATCATTAATTAACATATATATATATGAATTACTTACTTTGGATCCTTTGTCAGTATAGCTGGTCTACAAGGAAAGATAAGAGCAAAAGAAAGTTAGGTTTAGTTTGATTCACTAAATATGCAGATTTAGATAGACATAAATTAGCTTTTAAGCAACTATCAATATATCAAAATATTTAGCTTTTTATTTCCTTAGTCATTGATAAAAAAACACTTTAATAGTGAGTTCCTTCACTTTGTCAGATTATATAACTATTCTTGGCATATTCACAGAGGAATCATTACCATTATCACTCAGACTCAATTTATGCAAAACTCTTCCTCACACGCGTTATATAAGGTTTCTTCTGTCGACTCCAGCTGCGATCCGTAGATCTTCACAAATAGACTATGGCCACGGCACGCTGAAATCTGGGCTTATATAGGCCCACCTCTCGGCTGATCTTGTTGATCAGTTGAAAATCCTGCTCATTTAAATATATGTCAAACTAGTATTCTGTTTACGAGCATTAAGAATCTAGCTGTTTTTCTTATTGTTGCTATCCATTAATATATTCGCATATTTAATTACAAATTGCAGAATTTGTTTACTGGAACAGGTGCTGCTACCCGTTATCAACAACTGCATATTATTTGTTTATTTGTTTATCGCAATTACATTGCAAGCTCTATTATTTATGTTTTGAGCATAGCTTCGTCTATAATGTTGTTGCTCTAGTAAATTTGTTTCCCTTTGCCCAATGTAAACTTTGATAATTATGCAAACCACCCGAATCGTTACTGATATCAAGTCGTTGTATTTCTTTTTTATTTTTTGGATTTTTTTATAACAATTTGCCGGTTGGCGCTTAAATATTCATAAGCTCTACAGGTTTGCTGGGGTAATAGAAATAAATGTATATCTGCTTATGTGTGTGTGTGTGTGTGTGTGCTTGTATGTATGCATTTGCCACGCGCTCGTTGCCAAGTTGTATTGAACTGGCTTCTGTTGCGAGCCCCCAAAATTATTAGTATACGACTATTTAGAATACGAAATGAGCTATGAAATTTGTATTTATGAAAAGTTTATTTTTGTATGCTTGAATTAAAATATTTCACTTGACAAGAATTCAAATAAAAACGCTCAAGATTCTAAATAGTGGGACTATGGCACGAGAGCCAAATAAAATATTTTACATTAATGGAGAATGATGGTAAATTTGTATATATTTGTATATCGCATATCTGTATATTATAATATATATATAGTGTTCAAGAATATGCCTATAAGTACTCAGAACTGCATACGCTGCTGATTATTTGCCGATGATTTACATTTACAATTAATTTTATTTTATTTACATATATACATACATACGTATGTACATAAATTCACATTGCTTTTATGCTCGTTTCGCATCGAGATTACAAAATTGCTTTTGCTCGCTCAAACAGTTTGTTAATGGCCCCCTATTGGCATATGCTATCAATGGGCCGGCGACAGGGGCTACTTATGGATACCCTGTAACCTCCGCCGGCTGCCCTCGACTATGGCCCAGGTTGTTGCTGCGAGTAGCTGCCCTAATCAGCCAATCATAATAAATGTCAAGCATCGAATTGGCTTCGTGCCAATGGCCACTTGTGTGCTCACCATCCACTGCCTGGAATCAGAGCACTGCCCCATCTCCTAACGCTCTGTCAGTTCATCATTAGCTAGTCGCCAGCAGCAGCAGCAGCAGCAGCATCATCAACTGGGGTCCTCATTGTCTGGGGCTAATCGTTAACGCTTAACTGCTCGAGCTGATGCGTTGCTCATACGCCATATGTGCTATGGTATTTCTATAGATTCTATAGCCAAATCGAGAAGAGTGCGTTATTTATGAACAGCGGCAGCCTTAGCTATTGCCAAACACCTGACACAGTCGGACTGCTCGTCATTTGTCAAGTGATGGAAGGGCAAGCAGAGCAGAGCAGACAGCTGGAACATTTATATCAGAAAAATTATTGACCTATCCCAAGTGGAGTAGAAGTCACAAAGAAGAAGCACAGTAAACTGCAAATTCAAAGGAAAAATGGATAAAAGGCCTAAATTTAATTTTTATGTAAGTAACTTGGATTATATTTAGTTAAGTTTTTATATCTGCATCAATATACTCTAAGCAAAAATTCGGAGCATTATAATAAACAAGCCTGTCTAGCTGCCTGAAACCTAGATTCATAATCCAGATTTCCTTCACGTCAATAACTCAATCAAACGTAATTAACTTTACCTTTGGCAATTTCTTGTGAAGTCCTTTGCTCTCTGCACACGCACGCTGTCTGTCATCAAACAGGCATGGCTCGTCCTACCCAAACACTATGTAATATATATTATATATATATATGTTCTTCCATCTCACACTCTGCAAACCTAAACAAACTTTCTGCTTTTGCTTTTAATATCTGTGACTTGCTGTCCTTGGCGAAGGTTTTATTCCCTCTTTGTTTTGCGCCGTTGCGCAGGTTTGTTTGGGTTTGATGTGGGTAGCCTGTTGCTTATGATAGGAATATTATATTACACACGCTACCGTTAGCTTGTCTGGTCCTTGCTCCCTTCTCTCTCGCTCACTCTCACCAGCTCGCGCTCTCTCTCTCTCCGTGTTAGGGCATTGCCAGCTGTAAGCAAATCCTGTTTGCAGGGGTTGCTTTCCTTTGGGCTTGAGAGGGTGCAAGGTATATGCCGCAGGACTCAGGACAAAGGATATACGAAGTTGTTGCCATAGCCGCAAGCTGTCGGCGCCGCATCGTCGCGTCGTCTAGTGCGTCACGCTTTCAGTCGCCTTCCGAATCTCGTTTACTACGCTACGCTTAAACAACAACAAAACAAATCTCGAGAAAAAAATCAACAAAATCTGTTTATTCCATTTAAAAAGCAGGGTAACAATAACAATAACAATTACAAAAACAAAAACAATTTATGCACGTTTTTTTTTCGTTTTTTTTTTTTTATTCATGCTCTATTATTATTGAAAACCAAACGAACTTGAACTGTCGCTAGTTTTGTAACAAAGTAAAAAAAACACAACGGGAAAAAACTGAAAAACTGAAAATCGTTTGTTCAAAAATGAAGAAAATATTGACAAATTTGTGCTCTGATTAAAATCTTAAAAAACGAGTCTATTGCCAAAGATAAATCCCCCGCAGCTAGGCAACAATTTGAAAAATTCACGCATTGAGAGCATTTTAATGTAGTTGCTGCTCGATGGGGCCCATTCAAAATAGTTTTCATTATGATATACTCTACATATATACCTAAATACATATATGTATATTTAGGCCGATTTGCTGATTGATTGTTCAGTGTGAAAATGATCATAAATTTTAGTGTTTTGTCTTATTCTGAAGGAAAAGTTGCCATGGCGCGTCGAAATGAAATACAACTTAAGCCAGCAGCTATGGGCGCTGCCAGTGCTTCGCAAACTGTACAGATGAATCACAAACTGTGAAATCGCGCGCGTTTTCAAAAACGCGTTGCTTGTGTGTAAAAATCGCGCGTTTGCTAAATGCAATAATTATTAAAATATAAAAGATATAATAAAAATTATAGAATATAATATTTCATGAAATAGAAAGAGTGGCTTGTAGTCTTTATAAATGCATTATACATATATATATATATATTATTATATTCTCTCATTTTGCGTGTCATATGAACATTTTTGCCAATTCTCTATGTGCCCCCTATCCCTCTTTGGCTGTACTTCCCATTGGAGCTGGCTTTATGCCACATTGATAACTCTCCCTTTAACTTGACACAAAAAAACTTGCCTCAATATCCTGCTTATTGAGCTGCCTGCATTCGAGTTAAGTCATTTCATTTTATAATTTTGATGTCATCATATATTTTTGTTGAAATTTCTCAAAGGTAAACCAAAGGCTTTTTGGGCAGCCACAAAAAAGAAAACAATAACCGCCCACAGTTTGTAGGCCAGCAGAACTATAGCATTTAATAGCCTTGCTGTAATACTAGACAGTGGCATCCATAAACTTTCGCTTTCCAAACAAAAACAAAAATCGACTAAAACTGCAGAAGCTTGTCGAGATTTACGATCTGGAGGGGTGCTACAACAGGTTGCAGCAGCAGCATCATCATCTTATCTAAACAAAGTAGGGAGGGGAACTTTAGAACATCCTCGACACATAGCTGATGTGTGTATTTCTATGATATTTTTAAACACGGCCATATACAAATTATGAGACTCGTGCCCAGATCTCTATTTAAAGGGATGCGCCTCGTCGGGTCTGGTTAGGTGTACATAAATTATAAAAGCATATTTCAATGTGTGTCAGGCAGCCCAAGAATGTTGTCCAATCTGCTCTGCCTCATTTCTAACAAATTATCAAAGATTATTAAGTGTCATCCTCTAAATGGACCAAGCAATACTTTTCCACTTGAGTTCTTGAGGGGTTCGATTAAATTACTGTTGATAGAAACAGCTAATTAGTTGCAATTATATGTGAAATATGAAATTAAAGATGATATAGTCAGTTATGTATAATAATTATGTAAATATAATATAAAGCCAAATATTTTTATATTGTCAACAACAGTAAAGTTAAGTACTTACCTCAATATATTATCGTGTAATGTTTATGAATGACTTATTTAGGCGTAAGTCTTATCTATAACCCGCTTCAATTCAAAGAATTCTGTAACACAGTTAATTACATAGTAAGGCAATGATAAGTAATCATATATTAACCATACATACATATGTATGTGTGTATATAAGATAAACTTATCTTTATTTTATTAAATATAGCCTTTTATTTGTCTTGCAATTCAAAAAGTTTTGCATTTCAGGATGTTTACAGTGATAAGACAGCAGTGTTGTGCGAATTAAGGTAGAGATGGTGGAAAATACAAGAAAGCAAACAAAATGTAGCAAACACATTTTTATTTTTATTCTTAGAGTGACTTTTTTTGCTCATCATAATAATAAAATGAAAAATCAAACAATAATTCGGCACAAAATATTGTTTATTACTTGATTTGATCAACATTTCTTCTAGGCATTTCCTTCAAGTATTTCCTCTAAATTATTCTTCTAAGTATTTACTCTTAATATTTCTTCCAATTGTTACCTCTAAGTAATTCCTCCAAGTATTTCCTCAAAGAAGTTCCCCCAAGTCTTGAATGCATAGCTGATCAGTTCACACACACCTCATTTCACTTTACTGCACTGCACGACTGACCCCCACCAGGCCTGGGCGACTGAAGAAATGCTACAGCTGCTGCCCTTTATATAGGGCGACTTCCACTCAACCACTAATTCGCTCTCAAACGTTGAGCCCGGCACCAGGTAGAGGTCGTCGTTGCAGCCGAGCTTTGAGTGAGCAATGGGAGCACTCTCTGCATCCTACTCCTGCATACATACAAATGTATAGACAACTTAAATGACCTTCTGTAGTACCTCTTCATCTCTTGCTGTTCGTCGTGAGACCGACGGAGAGATAGAAACATAAACAGACACATACAAACACATATACATACAGAGCACTCGCAAATTAGCTAGATTTAGCCTGAAATAGGCTAAACTAGCAGCTCTGTAATGCAAGAGGTCAAACAGTTAAAAATAAATAAATAAAAATAAAAGCCGACTGATTGAAGCACACCTTTTTTGAATATAATTTGAAAGAGAACATTTGTTCACTTCTTGCATGAGCAAATTCTTTCTTGAGTTGGTATACATACTCTTCTCTCAGAAGGAAAGAAATGCATTTCAATGATTATGCAAATACATCAAATTGTATGTACATATGTATGTATGTATTTTACATGCAGAGAGAGGAGTCAAAGCACGCATAGAGAAACTTCACACGATTGACTAATATTAGATTATGCAAAGTAATCTGTTAACAGTTAGTTTTCATGTAAATGATGCAAAATAAGTGCTGCTAGTTATTAGTAATAAATACATAAATATAAATATATATATATAAATATATATAAATATAAATAAAAATGTACATAAATTCCTCAATCGAGCAATACTATGCGTTCTTTACTAATTCAATCAATTATGCTAGGGTATGCAAGAGCACTTCCCTTACGTCTATGTTAACTAACAGTATTTAAGTTAACAGCGGCGTTTGGAGCGTTGGCCCGCATCGATCAGAATGATTTCGCATGGTCGCCGTAGCGGACGTCGCAGTCGCTATCTTTCCTCCGTTCCGTTAAGCTGTTCAATTTATGCGAAAAGACGTTGCGACTCGCGCGCGTTTTCGAGCTGTTGATTTCGTTGAGAAATGATTTTCTTAGATTTTTTTAAGCATCTATTTTCATGCAACATTTAATTTATGAATGGGTGAATCGTCGCTGGACAATAAATTAGGCGCCAAATACCAAAGAAATTTTTCGTATTTAAAATGAAAATTCCAAATTATTTATTCGTAACCAAAGAGCTGAAAGATACAAAAAAATGTGCAATAATAATTGATGTGATATGTGGAAAGAAAGCATAAAAAGCAAAATAACAATAAATTACAACAAATGAAGTAAGCAGCGAACAAATTCTTTAAGAAATAAATAAACATAAATATTTACAAATTTAAAAAAAAAAAAAAAACAAAAAATAATAATAATTTCAAGTGATTTTGTTATAGTAACAAATAGTTCCACATAAATATTACGCCTCATTATATTTTATTTTCCTTCGCTTCCAATTTAAGCGTTAAGAATCTGAGCTGCAGTCTCGGAACCAATCAGCTGTGCAGCTGTAACCTAATATATAATGCACATTTCACATGCTTGGCATACTCTATAGCCTATATGACCGCATTCTCAATATGCTTACTATAACGACGTCTCTTTTTTTCCATCCTCAGTGCTCTCCGGCACTTAGCACGACTTACGGATCGATATCAAGTAACGAGAGCTAGCAACGACGAAACCACTTGGCATTCAAATAAAAATCAAAATAAATACCAATTCATGTAACTGAAATAACGCACACTAAATACTTGAAAAACAATGCGGAAAAGTGCAGAGGATTCTGTTGACTGCATGATTTCATCTAATACGAGTGATAAACGTAGTTCCTGCCATACAACACCAAATGGATTACCTATAGTAAAGAAAGCAACATTCCTGTGGCTATGCCTGCTCTTAATGTTCAGCCGCTGCTCGTGCTTGGATGAACTCAGCGATAAAGGGGCGGGCATTAGTGAAAACTATGAGGAATTAAAATTTGATCATGAAGTAACAGAGCAGGACGCTGAGCAAGCGCTACGAAAACTGAATGCAAGTAAGCCATGCATCTCTTATATCTCAAGATCTCTGCGAATGAAGTTCCTCACATGCATGTGTTCCTGTGCTCGCTCGCAGCTGCTGCTGTCTCTCACTAACTCTCTCGCTCCATCTCTCTTTTTTGGCAGCTCGCGCCGGCATTCAGAACTCTTGCATATCGATGAACTGTGGGCAATATCAAAATTATTGCTGGACGCCACAATTCGAGAAAGATCATTGCTGGTGTGAACTGCAGCATAGAGAAGGTGAGTCGACGATGTGTGGATAGGTAATAATGATGATATTAAATGATATTTATGAGCTGCCCGCCAAGGTGCGTTCATGCACACATGGCGCTTTAACAATAACAAACAACACAGACAGACTATAAACTCTGCAATTTCTCACACATAAACAAAAGAGCTGAAAAACGTAAGAAATACAAGAATTAAATGGAAAACGAAAACGCGAGTGGCGAGTGCCACTAACCCACTTGAGTGCAGCCCAAGTGAAGCTGAAAGCTTCATTTGCCTACTACATAATGGCAACAATTTCATTGGCTAATGAGCAAGAGGCACGCAATGAGCGCAGCTCAATAGAGATGATGCAAGCTAAGTGGCACCACTAAACTCTGCTCCGAAATGGGTCGGGTTCTATTAGCTAGCTCTTTCACTCACTCAATCTCTTGCTCTCACTCTCGCTCTTTTCATTAGCACGTGGCTATTGCGGAAGTTGTGAGTGGTTAAGGTTTTGGTCCACATGTCTTAACCGCAGCTACGCTTCATTGCATCGCCTTGCATAGCGCTACAGTAGTTACCCGATATACATATGTATGCTTATATGTGCATCTCAACAAAATTCTTGAGTAGTAAATGATATCTCAAATGCTCAATATTTAATGTATCGAGCTTAATCTGGCTCCACTGTACATCAACTGACATTCCTAGTGACCAAGCGCCAGTTTATATTTAATTCTTTTCTTTTTTTTCCAAGTTATTTTTATGTTTGTTTTAATGCCTTCTACTGGGGGGTTCGGCACTTCGTATTTTCTACACTTGAATGGTTTTTGTTCAAGGCGTGCACAATTTTCCGTTTTGCAGTTTTTCCAAATGCACTCGCATTAAAATTGTATTCTCTGTGTGTTCTAGTAAATACGCTCATTAAATTTAAGTTTTAGTAGTTTCGGGGTTTTTTTATTGACTAATTGGGTTTGTTGCATTTGTCGTTGAATACAAGACAAAGAGTACATCTATGATGTTATAATTCATTTATGACAAGAATAACGGTTTATGAACAATTTCCTTTAAAAAAAGATAACTGTAGATTAAATTTGCTATTTACTGCTGAGCAACTATTGCTAGATTGTGCAATCTTGTTATTCGTTCCAATAGCTGAGCCTTAACCTTTTCGATTTTAGCGGACCTAAAGTTGTTTTCTTATCAAGCATCACTCGTAAGTTTCTCGCTTATCGATAAGCAAAATCTCAAAATTGCAGTTGCATACAACAAAATCAACTGTTTGCTGTTATAGAGAGTCTTAGCTTTTAATATAATATAAGCATATATATATATATATGTATGCATATGTATATTTATTTATGGAACTAAAATGCTTAGATCTTTTCGCGTATATGTTTAATATGCAACAGCCTTAGTCACAAACAATTCTCAGACGTGTCTAGAATTCTAGAATTCAAAATACTCAAGCAGCCGCTTCATCATAGCACTCGATTCTATCAATGAACAAAACTCGTTCGTTTTAACCGCTCTCTGGGTGGCTATTGGCCACTGGTGTTTCTTGTAACGCCATTCAAGCTCCTTTTTAGGAACTGCTTGTAAAACAACAATCAACTATTTATTATTATTATTATTATATTTCTTTTGTAAATACTTTTTGGGCAATTATATGGTCGGCTTTAATTTTTGCACATTTTTAACACGCAAAAAAAGTTGTCAAATAATTTGCATTCATACAATTTTTATTAGATTTTTGAATTGATGGCTTTAAGTGTTGACGCTTTGATGAATCATTAAACTATTTATTATACTCGTTCATGTAGTCAAAAAGAGAGTATATGGGTTATAACCCTGAAGCTAGATGCTTGGAATTTGGCAAATGTACTTGTGCGTAACCTCATTTACAGACAGTATAAATGCTATTTTCTATATACTATGTACATAAATACATATGTATGTATATATTGTCCACTATTACATTAATATATGTAAATCATAGAAGAGTTGTCTATTCTATAGTGTTAAAAGTAGTAACAGTAGAAAATTTTTCATAAAACTAATAAACGAAAATATATTTAGTTGTTTTTTTACCATTAACGGGTATTGTACAGTTGTTTGCCCCTAACTCAGACAACTTGTTATGTCCAACGTTAAACATAGTCTATATAATAACATTTTTTTTTATTTAAATACGAGTTTCTGGTTCAGACAACATCATAATCAATCATAATCATTTCGAATACTTCAATATCAATTTTTTCCGCTCTTTTAACTAGCCGTCGATTTTCATTGAATTTGAAATTTTTGTCATGTCCTCGCCTAGTGTCAGCTGTCTCCATAGATTAGAATTGCGATCAGCGTATTTATCATAGTATATGTCTGTCCATATAGCGAGTCTCATGTCGATTTGCATTAAATTTCATATAATTACATAATTGAATAAATATTTGTGACACGCAGCAGCAGCAGCGGCATCAGCATTAGCGAAACAATGAGTTCGTTTCCATTATTCTAATTTGGAATATGGAAGTTTATGAAAATCAACACATTTAGTTTTTGTAAACAATTCGTGTAAACAGAATTTTGAGCGCTCGGCATGATATGATGGCCCCCAAAGTTGAAGAATTTTTGTAGTCATTTGGTTAGTTTTCTATTGTTTTGGCAAATAATTTGTTGATCTTGGCGCAGCGTCCAATAAACATATATTCTATATTATTAGTTTCCGTTTCTACTTAAAACGGCTATAGCGAAGCATAGAAATATGTATTGAAAACTAAAACCAAATGAAATTAATTTAAGTGTTATTCCTCGTTAGCTTTTAAATGTTTTATTTTTGAGAATTTGTGTAGAATATTTAATTGATTTTTGGTAGCAGCAGCTTGCATTGACTTTGTTTATGATTGACAGCGACAGCTGATCATATAAAATCAGCTCTACGTCCAGATGTCTATTTTATATCCATAGATTTTGCTTTTGTTTAGCCAATCAAAGCGCGTTGCGTATTTTCTCATGTACAAATCTTAAAATATTTACATGATTTCTACAAAATGAGTCGGGGTATTTAAGGTGTTTGCTAAACAAATTTTGCAATCCTTACCAGCTTTATATGTCATGAGTTTAGTTGGACGAACTGCAGCAAACGGGAGACCTCAAGCGGAAGTCACGCACGCCAAATTTGATATCTTTTTTGCTATAATAAATATATAAAATTTCAATTAATAATATAAATATAATAACAAGAGTAAACATTGAATGAGTAACAGCTTGTTCCACTGAAAATAAATAAGAGAATTTTATATAAAAATTGTAATTATATTTGAACTCAAACGTTTCTTTCCTTCTTTCAGAGGGTCTGCCCTATAAAGCACATAAATGCTTTGTGGAGGAGAAGATCTATAAGCCATCGGTAGGCTCTTGCTATTTCTTCGAGGAAGTCAAGGAGTGTTGCTGTGTATCCGCTTTTCTCAGAGAGTGTAAGTGCCCTTGGAATGTTCATGGAAGAGTTGAAACAAGTTGGTATTTGGACAGCAGCAGCTCAGCAGATCAATGATCAATAAAATACTTATATGTATAACGTGTATACACAAACACTCAGCAGCAGCCAACACTCACCACTCATACACACCCAGTTGAAGATTAACAAAGCAATGCTAATTTTATAATGTAAATAGTACTGGATAGACCTGCAAGATGATCTTCACCATGCGCAATCGTATAAAATCAATGATAATTAGATTTAATTTATAATGCTAATTGAATTAACTCAACGAATCATTGAATCGCTTTAAATCATCAAATTTTTGAAGATAATTAACATACTATGTTTATTATTCTTTCACAAAGTTTATTTTAAAATCTTCTGCAAAGTTTTCAGTTCGAGGCAAATAAACGAATTTCTTGCTATATTTTAAGTGTGCACACTCATAATGAAATATGAGTTAAAGACAGGTTATACAATTTTGACTGATATTTAAAGTAATTTTAGCTCAAGCGTAATTTGGTTTATGTCTCGATAGCCAATCTAATCGTCTCATGAGTCTTTCAAAGAAGCTCATTGTCAACAGCTAATATTAAAAAAAAAAGAAAAATACACACACACAATTTTACAATTAATGCATAAGCATTTCATAAATTTCAATTCATCCAACACTAAATACAATTTCTTCTCTAATTTGCAGGGCGTCGCATCTCGAGTGCTCCATTAAGCAGGGCACATCCCGTGCTTAGCTGCCTGCTGGCTATACTAAGTCTACTATATTGGCACAGCAGAAGGCATTAAGTTAGTTTAGGTTTAAGATTGTGGGCGGGGCCGGGGCGTGGCGTACGATCTAGTGAAACGTAGTCATAGTCATATACATAGTTGTTATCCAGCCATCTATAAGTGTACTTAGTTGAAAATGTTAAACACGAATCAAACTTACTTGGTGAGCAATTGTATATTAATATATTTAAGCATTAATAAATATAAATGTGTATGTCTAAATATATGATGTATGTATGCATAACCATGTACATAGTATTTATGTTGTTAATGATTATATGTGTTTAAGTTTGAATCTCTAAATTAACTGTGACTGACTCATGCTCGATTATGTATATATGTACGAACGAAAGGGGTATGATGTGTGGTGCACAGAATGTAAACAGAAGAAAAGTAAAACAAACACAGAATATAAACAAAATTTAAAACAATGCATTCAAGGTATGTGCAACTTGAAATACCGCTACAAAAATGGCAAATGGATTCGCTTATCGGAGATGCATACTTAAGTCTAAACGGTCCACTAAACCTCGAGTTCAGCAAGTCGGTCTTAGGTCTATTTTAAAGTCTACCACCTCTCTTGGCTTTATAAGCTGGTGCGGCTGTTCAGCGTACGCTGTAGTGCATTCACGCAGGACAGTACATCCTCGTAGTCCTTGGACCACTCACGCAAATTGCGTTCCAATGTCTCCAGTCTCGTCTGCCCCAGCCGCATGCCACCGTGCTTGATGGCCGCATAACATGAGCAGGCGAGCAGCTTGAAGCACTGTCTGCGCACTGCATTATGTGAGTTGCTCTCCCAGTTGGGCGTGCTCGCCACACACTGCCAGGCCATGCTGACATAGTCCACCAGAGCATCCCAGTGGGTGGAATCGTGCAAACGCTTCGCCTGCGTTTGCAGCACTCGCTTAAACTCGTTCAGATGGATGGCTGCCTTTGAGTAGGCAGCAGCATCTGTTTTCTTGCATAGCCGCGACGTAGGCAGAGATTTAAATATGAGTCTTTTGGCATAATGCAGCTCCTGTTCCAACAAACTGCAAAAAAAAACAGGCTAAAGTTATATGTCAATAGTTCATATAAACATCATTTACCTAATGTCTGGTGTTAGCAGCTGACCGCGAATCTTTTCCTCAGCACTTTGTGTGGCCATCGCAGTTTCCTGTTTTATATTGCACATTATCAAGTCAATGAGTTGTTGATGCGATAGCCCCGATAGAAGCGTTGGCAATGGCACCTCACTGTTCGTTTGTGCCACGGGGCGATCATCCATTTTCTGCTTCTTCACTATAGGCGTGCCTGGCCATAGCTGTTGCTTTGTGTGGGTCAACTTGATGGGTGAATATGTTTCCATTGGCGTAGGCTCAGGTGGTGTGCTGCCCATGGTCAATCGTTTGCGTGGAGAACTGCGCAATATCATGCCACTAGTCAATTGCAGGTTCTTCGTAGGCGTACGCTGAAAGGGACTGCGTATTGAAGAGCTGTTCCCGCTGACACCGCCATTGACTTTGTCCGGAGAGAAGGTCGTTGTGAAACGACGACGACCACGTTGCCGTATGATTAGTTCATCTGGTGAGGGCAGGGGCGAGAAGCTGAAGTCCTGTGCCTGTGCCACATTCATATCGTTGTCCACACGCAGTCCAAGTCCTCCACCGCCGCCTCCGCCATTGGGCGTGTTGGCTGTAGTGGCCGGCGTTGGTTCATCAGGCGTACGGCGATTTGCATTTGTTGGTGTATTCGCAACACGTAGTGCCTCTAGGCGATCGGGTATTTCAGCTAATGCCATGCGCGTCTGCAATGTCGGTGTCGTTGTCGTCATTATTGTAGCCTAAGTAGCTGGAGCTGCAAAAGTCAATAGAGAACATTAGCTGTCATCGAACAACAACTGAAGTGTTTCCATTGTGTTTGAAGACCCCTGTATTCATCACTTTAATTTGCTCTTGATTTGACCATTTACCTTGTTCGTTGCTAGACTATTTTTATTTTGTTTAGTTTTGTTTGCCAAAATTGCGCCAATTCATATGGCAAGCTCACACAGGGCTACCAACTAGTATAGAGTTGTCAGAGTATGCTTATAATAATGATACGGTAGCGCTGCGCAGAGCTGTCAACTAAATAAAACATCCGGCAGCGTCGTTCTGTTTCAATCTTTTAAGCAGCGGCAGCGTGCGATCTGCTCTTCATAAATTGCTTAAATTTATTAAAATAAATTGCAATTAATTTGCCAAAGCGTTAAGAAAATGTCTTTAAAAGACTGTAGCCTTTTTAATTGGCTGCGCGATAAAAGAGCTGACATACTGGACTTTGGTGACTGAACTGAGACATCTACTTGAACCACGTGGTTTTTGCATCGTACTTGAAACTTGTAGCTAATGACAATGTAATTCAATAAATATGCGAGGTATGTTTGCAACTCTCAGTAATATTATTAAATCAGCAAATCAGGGATGATATTTAAATTAACTGAGCAATTGTGTTGAATCATATCTATACCACAGCCAGCAACTGAAAACAATTAGCTGCACCTAATATAAATTGTACTTAGTATGTAACTATAAAAGTGTGTATGTATGTATGTACTTGTTTCGTTTTAGTTGCGCGTGGAATTTACTTGGATTCTTATACGTGGATAACCTACAAGTTAAAGTAAGTGGTCTTTAAATTGTACATCTGATCGTTTTTTTTTATTCTATGATGATATCTTCATACCAACTCAGAATAATTATGTTGATATTGACACGCCATGCACTACCATCTGATTAAAATACAAAAATCTCTAGCTCTTTTATTTGAAAATCGAAAAATCTAATTGATTGAAATTTACTTTTAGTCCTCAAATGTCGGAGAGCAAGCTGGAAAAGAGGCAGGCATCCGTAGCCCTGAGAAGTAAGTATTCCATCTATTATTAAAAATCCATATATTTTCTAATGATGATAACTACATACCAACTCAGAGCAATAGTGTTGAAATGGACAATGCACTACCATCTGATTGCTATACAAGAATTTAATTTCCCTCAATTATAATATATGAAACTAATTTGTTATTAATAATTCTTTTTCAGGTACACTCCTAGTTGACTCAGCGAATGTTCATGAATCTAATGTTTTAATTTTATTATACAACATATATTAATATACATATCAATTGTAAAAATAAACTTATAAAACAACTTAAACAACTGTTTAACACTGCCAACAACGTTCTTCATCAACGACTGCCCAGCAAGATGAAGGTCAGTAGGATTATATATCGGTTGCTTGGCTGACTCCAACTGCTGCTTCCATTCAATTCTGGCAGAACATTGCCATAGAACACCTCCTTGTTGGCAGGCGCATGCACCGCAGTAGCTTGATTTGTAAAGTCTCGTTTCTTCTTGAAGCTCTCATAGTACCAGTCCATGCCATCCTTGCGCTCCGTCTGCTCGGCTACCTGTGACAGATCGGGCAGTGTGTCTGTACGCTTCTGTGCTTGTCTGGAGATCACTTGCTGCTCGCTGGCAAAGCTCTCATTGTCCGCACTGGGCGTTGTGCGCTGATACTCCTCGGCCGTGGGCTGTACCAATTGCTGCTGATGCTGCTGGTGCGGTGTATACACCTTGGTGATTGTGGAACGTCCACCAGGTGTACGCACGCCAGCGGTTCCAGTTCCGCGAGCAGGCGCATCTTGCGCCACTTGCTCGCTGCTGGGCGTAGCCTTATAGTCAGTGATGGCTTCTGTCGTGGTCGTCACCCATGAATGGCTTTTGATTTGTGCCACGTGCTCTTCGGGTGGCGGTATCAATAGTATGGTCTCTGCTGTGGTTGGCTGATAGAGCTTCGGTGGACGCAGCAGCGTTACTGACTGCGCCTCCAGATCCTCATCATCGTACTGGGAATCCTCAGTTTGTTGTTCACTGGAGGCGCTAGTCATCGGCGCCTCTGTTGTAGAACTAGTTGTCGTCGTAGTTGTAGTTGCGGATGACGTTGTTCGAGCTGTTGTCATGGGTCTGGTGCTCTTTACGATTGGCATTTGAGTCGTTATATCGGGTGTCACTTCGGTGACTTCGTAGGTGGCCGTTTCGCTGCTCTCGGCGCCGCTCGTTGGCTTGGGTCTGGGCTGCGCCTGCTCCGGCTGCACGGCGATGGGCACAAAATGCCGCTCCAGGTGTGGTTTGCTCGTGGCATTCACCTGCTCCACTACACCGCGCCGCTGCTGGGGATCATGCACTGGCATAAAGCCGCCAACGTGTGCCGGCACAATGGGTCGAAAGCCGCCGCGCTCAATGCTCGCCGGCTCTCGGAATGTGGTGCGAAACACGCCCGTTGTGGTGGCTGCACCACTCTCATTGCTCAGGGCTTCCTCTCCCGAGCTGGTGGTCGACTCCGTTTCGCCATAGCGATTCCTAGCGTTGGGCCCATTCGGTTGATGCTGTTGCTGTTGCTGCTGCTCCCGCAGGTACTTCTCGAACTCGGCGCTGTTCGGCTGATACATGCGCGTCTTGCCACGCGCACTGGGTAAATTGATGTTCGCCATACGATGCGTGGCTGGCATCGGATCATCCTGATCCGTGCGCTGCTTGCGCCCACGCTCGCCAAAGCCAAAGAAGCGACCCAAGCTCAGGCTGGGTATCGGGTACCCAAAGAAGGTAAACGGCGACCCAGCGCCAGCCGCCGGCTGTGGTCGCCTATTGAAGTACTTGGTATGCAGCAGCGTATTGTTCAGATCTATGTTAGGATTAGCTGCTGTCGTCGGCTTGGGTCGCTGTGAGCTGCTGACTACAGCATTAGTCGATTCCGGCACATCCGTGGAGTCCACATACTGCTCGTAAAAGTATTCGCTATCCCCCACCATCGGTCGCTCGTTATACGCGTCACACTCATCATTGAATTCCTCGGGCAGATCACGCTGGAACACGTCGCCGTGCTCGTTCAGCAGCGGCAGATGATTGGCCTCGGTGCGCTCATTGTTATCGTTGCCATTGTAGAGCTCCAGGCCAGCGCAGAGACTGCGCTCCATGCGCGCCATGCGCAGCAGGCGACCATCCTTGCACTTTGGACCGGGATAAGGGAAATTCGTCTCCTGCAGCCAGACGGAGAGCCACTGCATCTCACAATTGCACTCAATGGGATTACCTGAGAGATGAATGGTGAGTTCATGGAATGAGCCCAGCTGGAGATGTAGTCGATGACTTACCATCCACATCGAGTATGGCAATGTTGCCTCTCAGATTCCTAAAGGTACGCTCCTTGATGGTTCTCAGCTGATTGTTGCGCATGGACAAGACACGCAACCTGGGCATGGTCTCAAATGGAGAGCCCTGAAAAAGACAAACACAAATTTAAATGAGAAATGAATATGGAGCCGCGTTCCACTGGACACTAGACCCACCTGTATCCTGCATATCTGATTGTTGTCCATCTTCAGCTCGACCAGCCAGTTGAGCGCCTTGAGTGGCATTGTGGAGACCATTTTGACGCCATTGGTGGAGAGGTCCAAGACCTCCAGGTTGCGCATGCTGCGCAGTCCAATGTTCTCCATGTTGCGAAAGTGATTGTTGGACAAGTTGAGGAAGACCAGCGAATTGGCGTGGTGGAAGCTCTCTGGCGAGATGTACCTCAATTTGTTGTACTGGAAGTGGGAGGCCAGTAGCGAGGGCAGGTCCTCGAACACGTGATCCTTCAGCTCCACCAGCTTGTTGTCGGCCAGCACAAACTCCTGCAGCTCCGGCAGACTCTTGAGTGCGCCTGGCTGCACGCTGCTAATCTCGTTGCTGCTCAGATCCAGATACTGCAGCTTGGGCAGGTTGCGGAAGGTGCCCTGCTGCAGCTCCACGATGAGATTGTTCGACAGACGAATCTCGACGACATTGCGCCAGGCATTGACCACATCCGCATGCACGCGCGTGATCTGATTGTAGCTGAGATCCACGTCGCGCAGACTGTGCAGATTGCCCAGACCCACGGAGATGTCGAGCAGCGCATTGCCCGATAGATCCAGATACTCCAGCGAGCGCTGGTTGTCGAAGGCGGTGGGCGAAATGGTGCGGATGAGATTGCGGGACAGATCCAGCTGCTCCAGCCGGCTGTTGTTCGAGAAGAAGTTGTCCGTGATGGACTCCAGCTTGTTGGACTGCAGATTGAGATTGCGCAGCTCCGCCAGTGGCAACAGCGCACGCTCGTCCGCCTGGCTCAACTGGTTGTCCTGCAGGTGCAGCAGCTCCAGCCGCTGTATGCCTATGAAAGAGGTGTCCTCCAGCAGACGCAGCTGATTCTGCGCCAGACTCAGCACGCGTAGCTCGGGAGCCGCCTGGAAGCCGTGCCGCGGCAGCTGCTCAATGTGATTCTGGCTGAGATCCAGCATGCGCAGATTGGGCAATTGCAGGGATTTGCTACCCGCTGGGGGCAGAGATGAGATGCGATTGCCACGCAACGAGATGCGCTCCACAATCTGGGGCAGTCCTGGAATCATAGCAGTCAGCTGATTGTAGCTGGCGTCCACCTCGAATAGGCGTTCCAGGTGCATGAAGGTGCCCGGATAGATGTGGGTCAGTTCATTGGACGAGATGTTGAGCGTTTCCAGGAGACTATTGTGCCGGAAGCTGTTGGCAGCCAGATCGACCAAGCCGTTCTCGCTGAGATCCAAGCGACGCAGCGAGGGCAGGCCAGCCAGCAGCTGTGAGTCCACGCGCACAAACTGATTCTGGGCGAGATCCAAGCCCTTGAGACCCGGCAGATTCCAGAAGGGCAGAGGCAGATCCGAGCTGAGGCTGTTGTTGCGCATGCGCAGCTCCCGGAGAGCGGGCATGGCCATCAGAGCATCGCGCTCGATCGAGCGCAATTGATTGTTGTTCAGATGCAGTTGCTCCAGCGTGCCATGGCCCCGCAGTGCCCCGTAGGGCAGCTCGCTCAGCAGATTGCCGCTCATGTCCAGGAAACGCAGCGTGGGCAGGGCGTCGAGCAGCGCTCGCAGCGCCTCCACATGGCCAATCTCATTGTTGTAGATGTGCACGGCCTCCACGCCGCTGCCAGAGGCCTGCAGCAACGACTCCGGATGTATGCGCCGTATCAAATTGTTGTGCAAGTGAATCGTCTTCAGTTGGGGGGTGCGCAGGAAGGCGCCGTACTGCAGCTCCGTGATGCGATTGTCATTGAGATGCAGCTCGGAGAGATTGGGCAAATCCACAAAGGAGCCATCCTCGATGACATTTATGATATTGTGATCGAGGCGCAGCTTCTTCAAGTGCTCCAGGTCCTTCACAATGCGCCCAATCATGCCCACATCGCTGATCTGATTATACGATAGCTTCAGGCTGACCAAGTTGGGCAGTCGAGTCATGGCGCGCAGGTGAATCCAGTTGATACCGTTCCGACTGAGATCCAGACTCTTTAGGGAAATCAGGCCATCGAACAGGCCAGCCTCCAGGCGCGTCAGACCCGCGCCACCTGTGATGTGGATGTGCTGCAGCTTGGGCAGATGCCGGAAGCTGTGCGGCTGCAGCTCCGTCAACGATGCGCTCTGCACACTCACATAGGTCAGGCTGAGGAGGCCCGAGAAGTCGGGCAGGTGCTTCAGCTCGTCGCTCTGTATGGTTATGGCCAGCATGTTGATCATGCCGTTCAAGCTCTCGGTCGGAATGCTGCGCAGCTGCGGCTCCACTATGAATATCTCCACCAGACTGTTCTCCAGCTCGTTCAGCCAGCCATTGGAGACCCGCTCGATGCTATTGTAGCGCAGCATCAGCCGCACGATCTGCAGATTGCCAAAGAAGCGTCCAGGCAGCGCGGGCAGCTGATTGTTCTCCAGCACCAGCTCATCGATTTGGGTCTTGATGTTCCGCTCCACGGCCTTCAGGCCGTCCATTATCTGTGGCAAGTTGCTGTGCGAGCACCTGCACAAAGAGACGTTTAGCCAGGTGAGTCTCTCAGCTGCATCTACTTACCATATTTGTATCTCCTTGCCGCGCAGCGAGCAGCGACAGGGCAGGATGGCCTCCGACGGCGGACAGCTGTCGGCACGC